ACTAATGTCTTTGTCTGACACATATCAATGGCATCATGGGATTTTCCCAAGACCTAGCTTCAGAAGTTATACCTCAGCTCCCCTATTCTTCTCATTCCTTCTGAAATGAGAAACTTGGCTACATGTTGAGTGTCCTTGACCACCGACTTGCCGGGCTACCTTCTAATCCTTTGGCTTGCTCAGAGTATAGTACTCAGCCACTCTTGTCCATGGTTACGGCTGCCAGCACACAACCCACCTCACAGTTCATCACAGCCCCATGGGGGGTTCCTGCACTGCACAGCAGGAGTCATCATACACACATGCACATGCATACTTTCCACGTCAACCCAGCCCTCAGAGACATCTCAACTTAATCTTAGAAATGGGGAATCTGAGTCCCAGCTGCTGAAAGGTAGAATAGGCCCCTGATCCAAGCTGCTGACTCTGCCCAGGATACTTCACATGGCACACATAGCCTTTGCACACATGCTCACTCACAAGCTTGTCTTCTTTTATTTCATAAATATTTGTAGAATGCTTACAAGGTGCAGCCCCCGTCTACGCTCCAGGGAAATAAGAGTGAATTAAACAGACATGGTCAATATCCTCATAGAGTTTAAAATATTGAAAGCGAAACACCCAAGTAAACAGACAGTAGTGCTCAGCCTGTGAAGGCCGAAATGCAAGGGACTGCGGCACATGTGGGGTATCACCCACTGCAGACTTGGGCTATCTTCAGAGCTATCCAGAGAAAGAGATGTCACAACAGGAAGTGCAGAGGGCTTAGGTGGAAATTGATCAGATGAAGAAAGAGGCTCCAAACAAAGGGATAGACTCAAGGTGTGAGGCCTGGTAGAACTGAAGACGACTCAACCTGGAGAAGCAGTGTGAGAGGTGTAAGAGAAGATCTGGGGAAGTCAGCAGGAGTCAGAGCATGAAGAAATGGAGAGTCTACTTCACCTTGAGGTTATCCAGGAGACTTGGGCAGCTCTAAGCTAGAAAATAACAAGACCAGGCATGTGCACTTAAGAAGGCTTCCTTGGGCTAAGACAGGGACTTGCCAGCAGGCCAGAACCATGAATTCAGGAAAGGGAGCAGCAGTGATTGAAGTAACCTGAGAGAGAGCAGGCCGTGTTCTGCTCTCTGGCAGCTGAAGTTGAGTGGAATGCTCTGGTGTAGTACTAAGGTAACAGAATGGCTGAGACTCTAAGACTCAATGAAGGAGAGAGGGCAAAGGATGACTGCAGGCTACTGGCACGAGCCACGGGTGGTGAGTGGTGAGACCATGCAATGAGAGAGAAACAACAGGACCAGGGAGACTGTCAGGAGAGGACATTGGTTCTTTTGTGGCTACAGTGAATTTTAGTTGTCTGCAGGGCACCCTACAGGAAGTGTATATATGAGTCAGAAATGAAGTGGTGGGCAAGACGGAGATTTCAGAGGTGTCAGTAGAGAGCGGTGAAGACACTGACAGGAGTGAAATGCCTGGGAGAGCAAGTGAAGTGAGGAGAGGGCCTGGGCACAATCCTCAGAATCACCAGCGTAAGGACCAGGCAAAGGAAGGAATGTCTGCAAAGGAGACAGAGAATCTGCCATAGAAGGATAGAAAACAGATAGCCAGTGCCATGGAAGCCAAGACAGAGGGCATCCCAGTGTTGCACTGTGCCTATCTGGCACACATTGTCCTAGGAAGCCAGGCTTGTGAATAACAGCCAGGACCCTTCCCAACCTGGAGGTTTTTCTGGGCAGGTGAACACGGCAGCTTTCTGGCATCCAGTTAGGTCACCCTCCCCAGAGTGAGATGTGCATCTAGCTACTGACTCCCTGAAAGGACTGTTCTGGGGAGAAGGGAGTTGATTGGGTGGCCCTGGGTGAGTACAGGGTCTTCTTCCTGCCCCTCCTCAAGGTGCAGCCTCACCAATGCAGACTCTGCCTCCTCAACAGTGAGTAGCATCTTAGGTATTATGCCTTGGGAAAGTCAGCCAGTTCACCACCTTGACATGGGCTGGATGCCTGGCTATCTCACCCACAGGCATGGTCCTCTCTTAGAAGGCCAAGAGTCAGGAAGCTCCCTGGCAAAGGTCAAAGTGGTCAGGACTTCACCTGGGGCAGAAGGAAGGGAAGGGAGTGAAGATGAGGAAGACTTGGACTGACTGGGATAGGTGTGGAAGAGCAAGACAGACTACTGAGGTCACCCTTGTGCTCACCTCTTTCCCAACATCCCCTTCTCCCTCCTCATCTCTCTAATCTTCCTTGAAACTTTCCCTCTCCCTCTGAGTTGGGCTTCTCTGTGTTTGTCTTGACCACCAGAGATCAGGAACACTTGTGAGTGGGGTGACCTGGAATGGTGACAACTTGCAGAGTAAAGGGAAAATTGTGTCAGAAGCCAACTCAGCCGTCAGATCCCACCTCTGCAGTGGGAAAGCCCCTTTTCTTATCTACGGGCTAGAGGGCTGCAAAGGAGAGACTGGAACATCTAGGCTTCCACACAGTTGCTGCCACCTGTGACATGTGGCAGCTCTTTGGGGAAGGTTAGTCACAGCACTAAAATAGCCCATTCATCCTGCCCCTGACACATCTGGGCACTGCCAAGGCACATCCCAGACTCACTAAGACTTATCTGGGCAATTCCACAGTGGAAATGGCCCCTTCTGTCTTCTCCTTTCTAACAACTCTAGCATGCATTGCAACAGTTTTTCAGCCTTGCTCCTTTATTTTCCTATTCCAAAGACTCTAAAGCTGACTGAACTCTATGGAACAGGCAGTAAGAGGAGTCATTGAGCACTGCATGACTCTCAGATCCTATGTCTAGGTAACAGGAGTGGACACAGCAGTGATCAAACAGTCACAGTCCCTCCCTCGTAGAACTTAGAATAGGAAGCTGGTCCTCATCTTCTCAATGACCTGGCCCAAATATCAGATTATACCTGTTCAGTAGCAAAGGCCAGTGGGAGCCCATGGAGTCCACACAGTGACCTACACTTCAAGTGAATGTTTGTTGAACTGAATCAAATCTGGATTTCATGAGATGGAACTGGACTGACTCTGGAAGGTGACAGGCCCTAACTGAAAAGAAGACATACATAGCCTACAATAATCCTGAACTGAATAGCCTTAATTAGGGAACCAGGGGTGGAGTTCCAAGAAACCCAACATTGAGGGAAAATTTAGTCCCTTTCCCTGGAACTTCCTGCCTGCAGTCCCAAGCCAAGCAGACAGATTTGGAAAATAGCAATGACATAATTCACACTTCTTTTGCACCACGCACAGAGCAGTCGTGGCACTCAGACCTTTGTTTATGTTGTTCCCCTGCCTGGAATGCCCTCCTCTCACCACTTCCTCCAGCATAGTCCTACAGAGCCAAAGAATGGACGAAACAATATGATAGCTGGGAATTGCTGGAATCCTGCAAGATCTGGGAGGGTAGAAAGAGGAAGGGGAGGGGAAAAAGATTGAAATACTAGTGAAATATGACAGCAGATATGTAAGAGCCACCCTCTTATGTTCTCTATCTTGTGTGTATTTGGAAATGTCCAGAATAAAATTAGTTTTTGAAAAACTCCAATGCATAAAGGAGAATAATGGAGAGGGTAAATTTAACTGAGATATATTGTAATCACTTTTGTAAATGTCACAATATACCCTCAGTACAACAATATGATAATAAAAATTTAAAAATAAAAATAAAAACTCCTATGTATCCAAAATCTAGGTCAATCCCAACTTGTGTAAGAAACTCTGCTACCTACACTCCATTCATGGATGTACCCCTTTCTGGTCAAACTCTCCTGGCATGACTATTGTCATACGAGATAGTACAATGATTTACTATGGTCATATATGATATATTTTGCATCACAGATTTTCAGTTACCTCTTTAATTTCATGGCAGAAAGGAGAGGAAGGGAAAGAAACTAACATTTCATAAGGACCCACTGTGTGCAGTAGACTGAACTTCCTGATCCTCAAAGAGGCCATGTCCTATACCACTTCTCTAACTCAAGATGGGGTTGTCATGAATATCTCAGAAGTATAGGTTAGAAAATACAGAGGACTCAAAGAAACAGCAGCACAACTATCTTGTGGACTCGTGTGTATCCACCAACAACGAGAGTTTCTAATAATGTAGAGAAGAACTTACAATGCCAAGTGAAAAACAACAGGTTGAAAAATCATACATAGATGATATGAGCTCTCCCCGTAAGAACTGGCTGGAAAAAAGACTGGATGGATATGCATATCAAAGTGTGCTTATTTTTGTGTAGGTGATTATTACAAATTTTTCCCTAAATTTTATTTTCAAAATCTGGTTTAACAAACATCTATAACCAGAGCCTGCAAACTTTTTCTCTACAGGGGCACATAGTAAACATTGTCAGCTTTGTAGGCCATGCAGCCCCTGTCACATCTACTCAACTCAGTTGTTACAGCACAATAGCGAGCAAATAGACAAAATATAAGTGAGTGGCTGTGACTGTGTGCCAATAAAACTTTATTTACAGAACCAGGCAGTGGGCTGGATTTGTCTCCTGACCAGTCATAGTTTGCAATCTCTGATAGATCATTTTATAATCAGGAAAAGTGTTGTTTAAGTACGTATTCTTTGACTACAGAATCTTGGCTCCATGATTGATAGATCATAGTAGAGAAACCTTACAGAATGCTTTATTCTGGTACCCTTGCATTATAAAACAACAGAAATTGAAAATCCCAAGTTAGAGAGTAGGAGAAAGAATTCTATGCTGAAAGACTAAAAATTCATGGTGTCTGCATTAATACAAATTTTATCTTTATCTTTAAACATAATGTATTTTGCTTATTTAGATTTTCTTTTAGGCCTTTTAATAAGATTTTTGTTGTTTGGAATTTGGGGGCAGTACTGGGGTTTGAACTCAGGGCCTCCTACTCACTAGGCATTAATAAAATTTTATATTATTTTAGAAACCTCTCAGAAATCTGTTATAAATACAATGTGAGATGAACAGAAAAAATAAAGTTTTATTTTTCTTTTCCTCCAGATTTTCTGAAGCAAAGGCCCTAGGAGAAAGTATTAATGAAGCAAGAAGTAAAATTGGTAAGCAGATGATATTCTCTAAGCCTCTTTCACAGACCACTTTCCTGGTGAAAATCAGGTCATGATGTGCCTCCAAATAGCCACGAAGCCTGGTTTCAGGAGAGGCCTGCCAAGGAAGCTGCTGGGAGAGTGCCTTCCCTGGAAGGTTGCCATCCCTCTCACCACCCATCAGGAAAGCACTTCCTTTTGTCTAGAACTTACACTTGCATGCCAACAGGCCTCAATTCTAGCATCCCAACAACAAAGTTCTGCTTTCCCCTGGTATCTTTCAACAATAGCTCCACTTGTCATGATCACCCAATTACAGTGACATTGCTTCATATTTTCAGGTGCTAAAAAACACTTTTGCACCTTGTAAAACTTATGCCTAGCATTTGGGGCACAGGTAGGCATTTTCAGAACCATTCATAAAGCTAGTGGGAGGATGAGAAGGAAAACTGAGCCAGTGTGTGGGTGCAGGCCACCAAGCAGAGCTCCTCCACTTAGATGAGCATGCCAAAGTGAGAGGAAAATGTTTCTCTTCCCAAAGCTACAAAACGCAATAGACTCCAATCTCCCAGGCTGGGAGTCTAACAGAGGGGGGTCCTTCTGCCTTTTCCTCCATGCTCAGGAAAGCAGGGGTTGCCTGTTCCCAGCTGGCTCCTTGGCTCCCTGTAAGTAAGAACAGGACAGAAGCAATTGTGTATGTCCACTTTGGCTTCTACAGAATATAAAGTCATGAGGGCCTCAGACCATTGAAGTGACAGAAATAAGAGCCCCACATTCCCACCCTTTGTGGCTGAAACAGAAAGTGCTGAACAACCAGACCCCTTTGTGTGGTACCCTGCAACTTCACTGAGAATTCCTACAACACGTTTTGAGGGCTCTTAAGCTAAGATCCAGGGTCTTGGATGGGGTAAATGCTCTTCTATGTTCATTACCCTCTAGCCGAAACTTAGCACTGCCTTCAATGATGAATGCAGGCAGCAAACCCAGTCAAACTGGCAGCACCTGCTACCAATGGAAGTCGCAGATGTTTTCATGTCACCTCACAGTGTGGCAGTCTTCGTAAAATATCTTTTATGCTCATCAGTACTTCAAAATTACAGTAATTATTAGACTCTCCTTTAGAACTTCTTATTTAATGCATTTATACAAAAGTGCATAGATATTTCTATGAGAAAATTTTCAAACTTTGATAGCTATTTCATTATAATTGGTTTCTCTTAAAAGCCTAAAATCATTATTCTAAGAAAGGGTCCATAGCTTCTTCAGGTTGCTGGAAGATCCCTGACACACACACACACACACACACAAAAGATTGCAAACTTGTTTCTTGGCCTGAGTCCCAGATCCCCTAACTGCATGTGAAAACTGGGGGTTAGGAGTGTGTTTGTGTTTCTTATCCAATCTCTAAAGGGTCAGTGACCCAAAACAATAAGAAATTGAGTCCCAGCTGATGCCCCATCCACATGGCCAGGGCTTCAGACAAGAAAGCAGATGTCTGCAAAGGGGCACCCAGGACAGTAGGTCTGACCTGGCATGGGCCACCTGGAAGCAGGGGAAAAGGGAAGGCAGATGCCAGTGAATTCAGCCCATTTGTCAGTAGCATTTACCCGAAGGGACTGAATAGCTGTAGTAATAAGTCAGAAAGGCCTTTTATAAACTAGTTATTTTCCAAAAAATAATACGAAGTTTTGCTCTTTAAAAATATCTAAGGCTGAGGCTGTGACTGAATGGTAGAGTACTGGCCTAACATGTGCAAAGTTCTGGATTCAAAATAAAATAAAAAATTTTTTAAAAGCTCTGGATTCAATCCCCAGTGCCTGAAACAAAAATCTAACTGTAAACCAAAATAAAACTGCACAACATTAATGAAGTGGACTGATGATGGAGGGCACCTACCGCCTGTACCAGCATAAATATCTTCTCACTGTGTGCGCAGTGGTTCTCTGATCACGAGTAATGACCAACTCTCCGTTGCTCTGATGCAGTAACAATGCCGGTGGCTCCAGTTTGCCACATGCTCAAGGTTAGGCAAGTCAGAAGATGCAGGCTGCGCCCTTCCCAGGAGCCAGGGGTCAAGGGAGTGAGAATTTTACTTGACCTGCCCAGAGAGGATGTTTGTTTGCAATTCACAGAAAGAGTCCAGAGATGCTAGCAGAAGCCCTGGGCAAGTAAAGCTTGTTTTGCGTTGTTGTTGTTGTTGTTGTTGTTTTCTAGAAAATAGTAAGTAGAATCTCAGTACTAATGCTGAGATTCAAGCTACTGTTGCTACTGGGATAGTGGCTATTTCAATGGTATTAACAAAACCAAAGCCAATGTCACTCCTCACCTTACACAGATTGCAAACTAACACCCATCTCCAGGTCATCATCTTTCAAATTGTCTGCTTGATCTAAGTAGGCCCAGGAGAGTGGACCACTGAGACCCAGCCTAATGACTAAAAAAAGCTCCTCACAGTGTTTGACCCCAGGGAGGAGCCCACCAACCCAGACATCAGGTTAAAATTAAGGAAGTAGACAGTGAAATTTGTACACATATTTAAAATTTCCAAGGCAACCTTGAAGGAAATAGGTTTCAGGAAACTTACGACATTAGTGAGTACATTTTCCTAGGGAGAAATTAATCAAGTTGGATTCGCAGTCCCCGAGGAGTCCTTGACTGAAGCTAGGAGGCAGGAACATAGCACAGATGTGCGTGACATGCCTACGGTGGTGATTCAGCTCTGCTCCCCACTGTGCTGCATCCTGCCCCCGGACACCGGACAGGCCTGGATGCCAAGGAGCACACATGTAATTGGCCTGCAGAGAGAACTGAAGCTGTATTTGTGATCTACAGAGCAACCAGCACACACATTTAAAGTTCAAGTTATCACTGTCTCCTCAGGCAACTTTTTTCTCTGACACCGTGACCTACAGCTGCCTCTTAAGTTTCTTTCTGAAAAATTCCTGAAGTCTTTCAACTCAGTAGTGACCACCCAATCTCCAATTTTTACATGGTGTAATCAGTTAGACCAAACTTCCATGTCATTTGCTTTTCTTTTAAGAAGCCAACCCAACTAGATAGATAAACTCTTCCCAAAAACTCCTTTTCATCCTCCTCTCTAACCCACTTACATCAATCCTGATGTTGAAATAAGTTGAAATCAGAAATTAAAGAAATAACCAATCTAGAATCTTCCTGAAAAATAATAGGGTCTTGTTTCTGTTGGAGAGATGTTGTTTACCTGTCCCATATAGAACAGCGTCAGGCTGCTTTTCATCCTGTGAGCTATGTTTTGAACACGTTCATATATACTCTGCTGGGGAAAGAAGTAGACTTCTCTGGAGACAGCGGTATCAACCTGGCGTCTTTACTTACTAGGGTTCTGGCCTACGCCTTCATACATCAGTGTTCCACCACTGGCAGCCTTGTCTTTGGCAACAAAGAACAATGAATGGGTGCCTCTTGGCATGAAACCTATCCTAAATCAGGCCAGAAAACAGCTGCTTTGAAGGCAGGTGAATGATTTCATGGACACCCTTGGCATCTCCTTCCCTCTGCAGGCCCCTCCAGGCCTAAATGGAAACTGACATCACAGAAGCTGCTCAGAAGCATTTTTCCTAGTAAGCCACTCAGCAATCGATTCAAAATCATAGGGAATATAATAGGCGGAGCTGTGATGAGAGTGAAGGAAAAATGAAAACACTTCAAAAGCTAGCAAAATGTTCTGGAAATTCCTTTCTTCCACTCCAAATTCAAAGAAGGACTCCAGCCTACCATTTGAGCAATAGCCTTCTTGAATGTTTCCCTTGTGCATTTGGGATTTGGAAAATCATTTCTCATATTTGAATCTCCATCAGCAGAGTAAAATAAGACTTTTTTCTTATATTTCTATTTTGTGCATGTTCCATACTTAAGTCTTCACTTAAGTTTTGCTTTTGGACCTACTTCCTGTGTGCTGGCTTTTAGTATCTTATCCTGAAATAGAGAAAAGACAATATCTAGTTCATTTTGCTAGATGATAATGACCTGGACTAAGTATGTGCTTTTGCTACTATTTGCTGCCATCTCCAAATAACAAGGACAGGGGCTGATGAAGTGGCTCAAGTGGTAGAGCGCCTGCCTCACAAGTGCAAAAACCCTGAGTTCAAACCCCAGTACTACCAAAAACAAACCTCACAAATCCAAATAACAAGGACAATAATCACAGACCCCACCATTTATTGCATACTTATTCAAGGCTGAGAACTTGACCTACACTATCTCATTTAATCCCTACCAGAAAGTTGGGTACTGATTGAGCATGCCTACTCTGAAGGCCTAAAATTCAAAATGCGTCAAAATCTGAAATCATTTGAGTGCCACAGGGTCAATTTTGGATTTTTGAATTAGGGATACTCAACCAGGAAAGTCTATGGAAATACTCCAAAATCTGAAATACTTCCAGTTGTACACATTTCAAATATAGAATACTCAACCTGTATTACCATTTCAAACACAACATACACAATTTTTACACTCTTAATACATGTGCTATCAGGATGCATTTAACCATCCATTTGGCCATTTTTTCACATTTTAAAAACCTCTGTAATGAGAAATTAGTCTGATCATTGATGTAGTCTTAGATTCTATAAAACAATGAAAATATCATTATTTTAAACGGAGTTCCAGTGAAGTAGCCTAGTAAGTGACCAAGCTGGAATTAAAATCCATTTCTGTCCAACTCCAAGCTTTTAAATATTATATACTGTCACTACAGATTCAGATTTTTACTTGACTTTGACATTAAAGTTTCATTAGGCTATTATTCAGTTTTCTTTAGTCTGGCTTACATCCTACATGATATACCCAATAAAAGGCTAAAACCAGACCTCAGCCCAGGGACTCTGAGCATAGCCCAAGAAAATGAAAAGTCTTTGTGACATGATGATATGTAGCCTTTGGCTCAGGGTTGGGTTGTAAGAACAGGTGAGTCTGAAGCCGGGCCTGCCCTTGGTCTCCAGGGCAGGTCCTGACTCAGGGCTGCAACTGTC